CTCTACTCAGCTTTTGGTTATATTGCATGAATCCATCTTCGTTTTTGAGATTTGATTGATGATTTCAAAGTGAAATTGAGGGAGTTAGGGTTTGAGTTTTGGAGAGTTTAAGTGAGGATTTGAGGGACCAACGGAGTCCGATTTTGATGAATTTTATATGGTTAGACTCGGGAGAGGACGAGGTTTATTATTCTGTCATTTTTGACTGATTTCGAGACGTGGGACCGGGGGCCGGGTTTTGGCCGATTTCGATTTTTTGGCATATTTATGTAGTTTTTATTGTGGAATTCAATTCTTTAGACTATGTTGATAGTAGTATTCTGATTTTTGGTTAGATTCGGAGCTTTTGGATACCGAGTCCAAAGACGAGGGAATCCCGGAGTAGGATTTTACGTTGTTAAGGTAAGTAACAGTTTTAGCTCTGGCTTTGAGGGTATAAACCCAGAGAATTTGATATTGTGTGACTATTTGGAGGTGATACCCATGTTAGGTGACGGGCGTGTGGGTGTATACCTCGAGGGATTGAGACTTGGACCGTCCCGTGAGGCCTCATGGCCATCATCTGTGTTTACATAGTTACTTGTTGTTGAACTTGTCAGCCTTCATGTTAGAGATCATGCTTAGGCTATATTCATGCTCACATTATTTGTACTCAGTCATAGAAATTATTGTACATGTTTACCTCAGTTTCTATTATTTGGTAATATGCTGTGATACTTTATGTGGGTTGTGTTCCCTTATTTGTTGATGATAGTGAGGCTAGTGAGGTACATGATTGAGTGAGGTCGAGGGCCTGGTTGTGAGGATATTAATACCATAGCGCGTGAGTTGTCCGCGTAGCACGTGATTTGACCGTGCGTGTCCAGGTATTGATACCATAGCGTGTGAGTTGTCCGCGTAGCAAGTGAGTTGACCGTGCGAATTCAGGAATTGATATGATGGCACGTGAGTTGTCCGTGCTTAGCGCTTGGGCTTTGGGAGCCCCTCTGAAGTATGTACACACCCCCAGTGAGCGCAGAATGTTGAGCGTTGAGTGCTGAGTGCGAGGGCTAAGTGATTGAGTGACATTGTTGTGAGGTTGCATTTACTTTTGTTGTTGCTGCATTTACCTGTTAATTTTCCTTGTAGTCTTACTGATTTATGAAATTACCTGTCTACTCCTGTTTGTACTTAATTGTGGAAATAATAATTGGATTATTCTGCTTAGCTTGTCACTACTGCTCAGTTCCTTAGTTATTTCTATTACTGCTGAGTCGGTTGTACTCATACTACATCCTGCACTTTATGTGCAGATCCAGGTGAGTTAGAAGGCGACGATCGTTGAGTTCATGCCGGCTATCTTTGGAGACTGCAAGGCAGCTGTTAGCGTCCGCAGAACCTTGTTACTCATCTTATCATTTCTTCTTTTGGACAGTTAGACAGCTTATATATCTTAGTTCATAGTTTTAGATGCTCATGACTTAGTGACACCCCGATGTTTGGGGCTCGTTTCCGTATTTTCTATAATTATATTTAGAGTTGATTTATTTTATAAAAAATTCAAATGTTGGAAATATTTTATTAAATTCTTATAATCGATTTAGTAGTAATATTTTGGGAAATAAGCTTGCCTTGTAACACGATAGGCGCCATCACGACCATGGTTAGATTTTGGATCGTGACAAGTTGGTATCAGAGCTTAGGTTACTTAGGTCTCACGAGTCATGAGCAGGTTTAGTAGAGTCTTGCGGATCGGTACGGAGACGTCTGTACTTACCTTCGAGAGGCTGTAGAACCCTTAGGAAATTTCACATTCTTGGATTCTTATCGTGCGGTATTGATTCAACTTGAAGTATAACTCTTTGAATTCCTTCCACGTATTAGTATGCGCACATGAGCGCTTAGTATCAGTTTTGCCTCAATGGATTGTGATTCCCTAGATGAGGTGCAAGATATGATTTTTGTGTGTTGATGTTGGGCCAGTCTAGAAGAATCGAGGCCGAGGTTTGACTATAGCTTGAGCACTGAGGTGTTGATTGTATGAGCACGTGCTTGTGGTACTTTTGGGGATATTTAAGAGAGTATTCAATGGCGTATGAGCCTTAGGGCGGTGTGATTTTATGCTTGGGTCTCGTGTGGTGAGTCTGGGTTGAGGATTGTGGTGTTATGGCGGGGCAAAGTATCAATTTGAAGTTAATTCAGAAGGAACTCGGATAGATAGGACATCTTGATAGTAGTTTGGATCGGCATGGTAATGGGTATGATTAGTTCTTTGGATATGTATGAGGTAATGAGTTCTACAGGTGTTTTGTGGCAATGTCCTTGGGTTTTTGGTGTTCTGCGTAGCTTGACTAAGTTAGAAGGATTCAGTCCTGACAGATTAATTTAGTGCCATTGGGGTTCGGAGAGAGTTCTTGATGGTTTTGAGAACAGCTCTTAGCACGTTCGATGACGAATATTTATTTAAGAGGGGGAAGATGTAATGACCCGGCCAGTCGTTTCGAGAGTTATAGCCTTGTTTTCCCATTCCTGCTTCTTTATGTGTTGTTCAGCGGTGTTGAGTTGTATCGAGTTGGTAGGTTTGGATCCGGAGTAGTTTTGGAGTGAAATGAATACTTAGTCTCTTAGTTAGAAAGTTAAGTTAGAAAAGTCAACCGCAAGTTGACTTTTGAGTAAACGAATTCGGATGTGAATTTTTATGATTCGATTAGCTTCGTTGGGTGATTTTAGACTTAGGAGTGTGTCCGAAATATAATTTGGAGGTCCGTGATAGAATTAGGCTTGAATTGGCGAAAGTTGAAAGTTTAGAAGTTCTTAGGCTTGAATCCGAGATTGGTTTAGTGTTTTGGTGTTATTTTGAGTGTTCCGAAGGTTCGACTAAGTTCGGGTAGTAATATATGATTTATTGGAATTATTGGTTGAGGTCTCGAGGGCCTCGGGTGAGTTTCGGATAGGTTTGGGTTGTGTTGCGCTCGTTTTTCTTATGTTTCGACGCCTTTTCTTCATGCATAAATGATATCATTTTGAACAAATGAGCTCCGATTTCTTTTTTGATTGAAGCATTAGATCTGTATCGTAATTACGGACCTGTAACAAAAAAGATCGTCGAATTTGGACATCGTATGAGGATTTTATGGTATTTTTCTAAGAATTAGGTTGCTAGATGTTTTTCAGATTAATTTCGCAATTGCCACTGACGGCGTATTTAAAAATCTGCACTATTTACAAATATTGAAACCAACATATCTCCTTCGTTATAAGGTCAAATTGAGTGATTCAAAAGCCTAACTTGACTAGAATTTCACAAGGAATCCATTGGAGGCATAAAAAGTGAGTTTCGGGATTGTTTGACATGAGAAACGAGGTATAATAGCTGGCAGAAAAATATATAAAACAAGGGTTTGTTCATTCGGTTTATATAGAATTTACGAACAGAAATATATACCACAAAACCTTAAAAAAGAATTCTTCCATAAGTCTGAAATTAAGCTGCTTAAGTTTTCAAGATTTATTAAATTAAAATAAAAGAAATGTTTCCTTTGTTTTCCTTCTTAAAACTGAAAACGTTGAAATTCCTAAAAGTTAATTCTCATTTTCCTTGGCGAGTTGCTATCTTCTCTGATTTTACTTTTGCGTTTAATAGAAATTCTCCTGAAGCATTGGACCTTTCCTTAATGCCCTTGGTTGTCAATTGGACTATTTGAAATGTTAGCACAAGTGATAAGGCCCAAATCCAACCTAAACTTCTAAAAATGGGATCTTTACGCAAATAATCAGCTAGATTAACTGTTTACTTTTCTAGCCGGTATACATATATTTAATACGGATTACACAGAGTTATACACATATTATATGGTTTATACATATATTATGTATTCGTTGGTTATTTTTGTTTAAGAGGTTTGGTAGACGGCTATTTAGGTTAATTCTCCTAAAAAAGGTTAGGCTAAATGGACTTCTTTAGGATTACCGTTTAAACTTTAATCATGTTAAAAAAAAAATTTAGGAAAAATAGCCTTCGATCATAATTTTGAAAAGCAGCCCTCACAATTACCGGAATTTTGAAGCACCAGGAATTCAGCCATAATGCTGAAAAATTCTGGTGATCCATCAAGATTTGTTGCAAAATCCTGACAATCACCAGATTTTTTCTGCATTGTGGCTGAAAATTTTGGTTATCCTCAAATTTTGCCACGAGTTTTGACAATCACCGTAACTTACTAAAATACTGACGCGCTTCAAAAACCGGCGTCGAGCTATTTTTCCAAAATTTCTATTATCAGGGTCCCCCTAAACTTGTCAAACCCATGGGTCGATATATTTTAAATGACCTTCTCTAATTTTGCAGTCCAAATTTTCTATAAAACACTGTTTAGAGTGTAAGCACGTAAATTTTGACACGCGCAATTTTTAAAGTTAGTTTAGTATTCCTAGTATTTTTACGTATCTATTTGAGTTACCTTTAATTTTCTAGAATTTGAGTCCATTTTATTTTTAATTAAAACTTTTGAAAAAACACCAAAAATAATTTGTTTTATAATGTTTTCATCTTATATTTTATTTTAGGGTCATTAGTATTTTATAGTGATATTAATTTTTTTCTATGATTTTAACTTATTTTTTCTCTATTTTTATTTGAAAATACCAAAAATAGTTTTATATTATAAAATAGTTAATTTAAATTAATTAAAATTGATTTTTACATTTTTATAGTATCTTTTATGTAGGAAGAATTAAGGTCTTGAGCAAGAATTTTAGATTTGACAAAAAAACAAACTTAGAACAAATTTCAAAAGAAATTTCAGCCCAATACACGCCAAATTTGGCCCAATTCGGGCAAGAGGAGGCCCAAAATCGGCAGTCTATTACCATATCCACTTAACCCTGCCGACCCGCCCCATCTTTGAACTTAAATCCCAGCCGTTCACCCTTTCTCATCCAACAGCCCGCATTTAATCCCAAAAGCCTAATAACCTCCAAACCCTAAATCCAAAAAAATAAAAAAACCAAAGCAGCCGCAGCCCACCCTACCACGCCTCTGCCGCCGCCAGCCACCTTAAATCGCCGGAAATTATAAACAATCCAGCATTCCACGTAAGCCCTGGTCCCCACGTGATTCCCCTCGTCTTTTTCTTCCACGTAGCCACATATAACGAACTCCGTACGGATCGAATCTTCCAGAAATAGAGACGCATTTTCTTTGATTGTTGAGGATCAATTTCGGATAAATGGGGCCCGTGGATTGATTGTAAATCAATCCTCGCCTTCCATCTGTCCCGTATTAGTTCCAGAGAGTGTTGGTTTCCAGATTTTCGGATTCTTTTGGGGGTAATTTTCGAAATTTCGGGTTTCTTAAGGCAAAAGAGAAGTTTCGAGAGAGGGATATAAAGAGGTCGTTTTTCAGATTTTGGGGAGGAGAAAAATTCGGACGGATAGAAAAAATCTAGGGTTTTGATTTTGATTTTCGATCTTTTCACTGATTTTCCTAGTAATTTAATATTTATATATATAAAAGCAAGTTTCTTCCATTTTCCTTTTAACTTCAGTAACCGGAAAACACAAAAAAATTTAGTTCTTTTTCTTTCAATTTTTGGATATTAAATATGGAGTTTAGTTGGAGTTTGGAGCCATTTTGAGTCGTGTGAGAATTGCTCGTGGAGGTTTCAAGGTCCCAATTCCAGTTTCGAATTAGTTTTGTTGCAGCCTCGTTTGCTTCCTGTCGGACGTTCGAATTTCGACGCCGGACTTGCTTGTACTTGCAACCAAACAACGTTAATCAAATGATTTCTGCATATGCAGGTCCAACTTCTCCTCTCTTACTTTTATCTAATGGTGTGGTTGAAATATGATAAGAGTTGTAGGGAATTCATCTCTAAAGTGATAGGTCTTTGATCAAATTTCAGTAGAAGTTGAACTTGGAATTAGCATTTAGTCTCGATTTGCGTTGGAAAATGATATTTGATATGTCGTTCTTGTTGTTTGAATCCTGTTCTCACTGTTTTGATATGCTTGAGTATGTTCAGTCAGTAAGAGTTGATTCGAATGGTCGTTTTCTATGCTTTGAATTCTTTTAGCCGTTGTTATAGTGTTAAAGTATCTCTTGGGTCAAGAAATATTTCATCGATTTGAAACGGACGATCTGTTCGGCTTTGTGATTGTTAAATGAGCATGAATCCGTGATGCATATTCTCATGGTGTTTCAAGCACTAAAGTTGAAACTTTGACTTTATCGATATACATTGATAAACTTATAATTGCAAACATAAGTACTAAAATTGTGACATTTTTTTTAAAATTTAAAGTTCCATCATTATGATGGAAGAATTAAGGCATGACTACAACCTCTATATATANNNTCGAAAACAATGTGATAGGTGACTACACTCAACCTATGATACACAACAACAACATACCCAGTATTATCCACATCGTGGGGTCTGGGAAGGGTAGTGTGTACGCAGACCTTACCCTACCTTGTGAGGATAAAGAGGTTATTTCCAATAGACCCTCGACTCAGGAAAGTATAAGCACCACAATAATAAAAATATAGACAAGGGACAGTACTAAAAGCCATATAAAAGCAGAATAAAAACAACAAGACAGTAAGGTGATCAACAATGAAAGAAAACAACAGTTAGTCATAAATGCGTCAATACTACATTTATGACTACTCTAGACTACCTACTCTACTACCCTAATTCTCGACCTCCATACCTTCCTATCAAGGGCCATGTCCTCGGTCAGCTAAAGTTGCGTCATGTCTTGCCTAATCACCTCTCCACACCTCTTCTTAGGCCTACCTCGATCTCTTCGTAGGCCCTCCAATGTCAACCTTTCACACCTCCTCACCGGGGCGTCTGTGCTCATCCTCCTCACATGACCAGACCACCTAAGCTGCGCTTCCCGCATCTTATCCTCAATAGGGGCCACACCCACCTTATCTCGAATAACCTCATTTCTAATTCTATCTAACCCGGTGTGCCCGCACATCCATCTCAACATCCTCATCTCTGCTACCTTCATCTTCTGGACATGAGCGATCTTGACTGGCCAACACTCTGCCCCATACAACATCGTTGGTCTGACCACCACTCTGTAGAACTTACCCTTAAGTTTCGGTGGCACCTTCTTGTCACACAAAACACCGGAAGCGAGTCTCCATTTCATCCATCCCGCCCCAATACGATGTGTGACATCTTCATCAATCTCCCATCCCCCTGAATAATAGACCCAAGTTACTTAAAACTCCCTCTCCTAGGGATGACGTGCGAGTCCAGCCTCACCTCCCCTTCTCCTCCTTGAGTCTCGCCACTGAAATTACACTCCAAGTATTCTGTCTTGGACCTGCTCAACTTGAAACCTTTAGATTCCAGGGTCTGCCTTCATACCTCTAACTGCGCATTCACATCGTCTCGCGTCTCGTCGATCAATACAATATCATCTGCAAATAACATACATCACAACACCTACCCTTGGATGTGGCGCGTCAGTACGTCCATCACCAGAGCAAAGAAAAAAGGGCTTAGTGCCGACCCCTGTTGCAACCCCATCATAACCGAAAAATAGTCTGAGTCCCCACCCACCGTCCTCACTCGGGTCTTTACTCCATCATACATGTCCTTAATCAATCTAATGTAGGCAACATGTACACCTCTAGCCTCCAAACATCGCCACAAAACCTCCCTCAGAACTTTATCGTACGCCTTTTCTAAGTCGATGAACACTATATGCAAGTCCTTCTTTCTCTCCCTATACTGCTCCATCAATCTCCTAACAAGGTGGATGGCTTCTGTAGTCGAACGCCCCGGCATAAACCCATACCGGTTCTTGGAAATAGACACAATCCTTCTCACCCTTAGCTCTACCACTCTCTCCCAGACTTTCATAGTATGGCTAAGCAGCTTGATACCCCGATAGTTATTGGAATTTTAGATATCACCCTTGTTCTTGTATACAGGAACCATCGTGCTCCACCTCCACTCTTCGGGCATCTTCTTCGTTCTAAAAATGACATTAAATAACCTAGTGAGCCACTCCAAGCATGCCTTGCCCGCACTCTTCCAAAACTCCACTGGGATTTCATCCGGCCCGGTCGCTTTGCCTATGCTCATCTTACACATAGCCCCCTCAACTTGCCATCTCCGAAGGATTAGCCCCTCATCCAACAAAACTCTACCTTATTCGTCCTTGATGCACTTTACTTGGTCCAAGTCACGCGTCTTCCTTTCTCGCGCCTTGGCTAACCTGAACAACCTCTTATCCCCACCTCGACCCTCGAGTTCCTCATACAAACGACTAAAAGTTGCAGTCTTGGCCGCCGTAACTGCTAGCTTTGCCTTTTTCTTAGCCAACTTATAATGCTCCCTATTCGCCCTCTTCTCCTCATCATCTACACTTTCCACTAGTTTCAGATATGCTGCTTTCTTAGTTTTCATTTTTCCTTGCACCTCTCTGTTCCACCACCAGTCTCCCTTGTGACCACCAGAGTAACCCCTTGAGACCCCTAATACCTTTCTCGCAGCTTCCCAAATGCACTGCGCAGTCGTGGTCCACATAGCGCTTGCGTCCCCACTACTCCTCCAAGCCCCCATAGTCACCTGTTTGACCCCCAACTCTTGCGCTTTAGCTTCCGTCAAGGCTCCCCACTTGATACTATGTTGGCTATGCATTGCCCTCTTCCTCATCTTCCTCGTGATCTCAAGGTCCATGACCAGGAGCCTATGGAGGGTCGAGAGGTTCTCACTCGGGGTGACCTTGCAATCCGTGCAAAGACCTCTATAGGACTTCCTGCAGAGTAAATAATCAATCCGAGTCTCGGCCGTTGAACTCCCGGAAGATGACCAAGTGCTCCCTCTTCTTCGGGAAACTCGAGTTTGCTATCACCAAATCAAATGCTCTAGCAAAGTCCAGCAAAGACGTTCCTCCTCCGTTTCTATCTCCAAAACCAAAGCCACCATGAACATCATCATAACCCCCAGACGACGCTCCAATGTGACCGTTGAAATCTCCTTCTATGAAAAGCTTCTCAGTATGTGGGATACCACGCACCGTCTCATCCAAATCCTCCCAGAAACACCTCTTGACTTCCTCATCCAAGCCTGCTTGGGGTGCGTACGCTCTGATTATGTTCAAAGTAAAACCTCCAACAACTAGCTTAATAGTCATCATCATGTCATTCACCCTCCTAACCTCCACCACTAGTTCACGGAGGTCCTTATCAACCAAGATACCTACCACGTTCATGCCCCCACTCTTCCAGAATACCAAAGTTTGAAATTGCCCACATCTCGCGCCTTATCTCCTACCCACCTAGTCTCCTGTACACAAGCTATATTAATTTTCCTTTTCTCGAGAATCTTCGCTAACTCTACAGATTTTCTAGTCAAAGTTCCTATATTCCAAGACCCCACTCTCAGCCTAGTAGCACCCTTAGCCCTCTTACCCCCCTTACCCCCACACCTCATCCCCCGTTCTGATACCCCCGAGGACAAGACCTTACCCTGCCATCGTTCACCAAAACCACTATAATCTATGAGTCACTATGCAAGCACTATCCCGAAAACAAGCGACAAAAATAAAATGAATTATCGAAATATAATCTACCACTAAAGGTCGCAAAACAGGTGAAGAAATAAAATAAAATAACTAACGGAAACTATAATCTACAATTAAATGTCAGAAAAACTGGTGAAGAAATACAGTACAAGAGCTAACGGGGGCTATAATCTACAACTAAAGATCACAAAGAAAATGTGCAAAACTATAATGCAAAGCTATCACTAATGCAATTAATTTAGCAATGCTAGGGCCAATACTAACTAAAGATTCAAGAACAAAATAGGCAGGCAATGAGCTACAATTACGCTAAAATACAAACTATTAAAATATCAAGACAAGAGAGAAACAATAAAAACTGGATTGCAGTCCTTGAAGTTAACGAAAATCTGGCCGTGATGGATTGCGACGAGCTGGAGGAACGGTGTCGTCATTTGAAACTGGCGGACCGAGAATCAGCCGAATTTTTTTGGATCTGTATTTGGTTTCGATTTGTTTAACCACTCAACCCAAATGTTCCGTATATACTCTCTGAAAATCTTCTGAACGCCTCATCAGAAAGCTCATCGGAAAATCGATAAATCTCCAGAAGAAAGAACGAACTTTGCCGGAAAATCAATACTGTAATTCCAAGAACAAAAGTATTTAGCTTGGGTAAGAAAAAGGTTGTGCATCCTAGGGTAGTTTGTAGAAACACACATGGATGTTACGTACAAAAAGGTGAGAGGAAGAAGCTTATTGCTAGGTGCTGCCATTGATAACAAACTTGTTTTTCTTTTGTCTGAATCTGAAGTTAGGGATCCCGTCAACTTCTAGCTTCATCGGGTAATGATACAACCTTAGTGAAGATAGAAACAATTTTGGATTCTTCACCCAGGTTAGCAAGCTTGTGAGCAGAGTTGTTACCTTCTCTCAAGGTGTGACAAAAGACAAAGTTAGCATCCTTGGTCATGGTTTGAATTTTCCCAATAATATCATTGAATCTCCAGGGAGGTGTCCTGTGTCTTTTGATCAAGTTAAGAATAATCATCGAGTCAGATTCGACTATAACATTTGTAAGGTCCTTTGTAATACACATTCTGATTCCTTGCATCATAGCTTTAGCTTCCACAATATTGCAACTATAATTATGACATTTTTTTAAAAAATTTATAGTTCCATCATTATGATGGAGGAGTTAAGGCATGACTCCAGCCTGTATATATATATATATATATATCAAAAACCATAATTACATGGAGGAGGACATAGGCGTTGGCTTCCAAAACAGTGTGATAGGTGACTGCACTCAACTTATGATACACGAGTGAACAAAAGTATTTATCTTGGGTAAGAAGAAGGTTGTGCATACTAGGGTAGTTTGTAGCAACACACATGGATGCTATGTACAAAAAGGTGAGAGGAAGAAGCTTATTTCTAGGTGCTGCCATTGGTAACAAACTTGTTTTTCTTTTGTCTGAATCTGAAGTTAGGGATCTCGTCAACTTCTAACTTCAGTGAAGCTCTAACATTCAAGGGTAATGATACAACCTCATTGAAAATAGAAACAATTTTGGATTCTTCACAGGTTAGCAAGCTTGTGAGCAGAGTTGTTGCCTTGAGAATCTCTCAAGGTGTGACAAAAGACAAAGTTAGCATCCTTGGTCATGGTTTGAATTTTCTCAATAATATCATTGAATCTCCATGGAGGTGTCCTGTGCCTTTTGCTCAAGTTAAGAATAATCATCGAGTCAGATTCGACTATAACATTTGTAAGGCCCTTTGTAATACATATTCTGATTCCTTGTATCATAGTTTTATCTTCCGCAATATTGCAACTTCAATCTCCATAGAATTCTACAAAAGCACCAATTACCACACCATTGTGATCTCTGAAAAGACGAAACTGGATTACCTTTGCTACAACCATCAACATTGAGTTTAACCCAACCTGTTGGAGGTTTTTGCCAATAAACGATCTGACAGTGAATAGCTGGGGAAACCTTCTCAATTCTACTGTAGGTATCATGCCACAGGTTAGGAAGATGCACATCTGGGAACCTCGTATGGATAAGCATAGTTATCGTCTTGATCACTTGCTGAATCATGAATCGATGGGACATGTTCTTTTTATCAAACCTAGCAGAACATATGTTCTTCCAAATTTGCCAGCATATAATTGAAGGTAGGCATTGCAGAAATGTCTTATGGACTTCATTTTTGGGCTTAGTCAACCACCACCTCATACCTCTATGTCTTACCTGGCCTTGGACCGATCTGATACCACAAGAGTTACAGAAGAAGGACCATACTAGATTGGTAATATGACTATCACTGAGCAGATGGTCAGTGGATTCCTCATAATGGTCAGTGAAGCAACAGTTACATATGGAGGCAATATTCACTCCAAATATTTTAACAGCAATGTCAGTTGCCACCTTATCCAATAGGACTCTCAACACAAAAAAAAGGAGACTTTAAAAGGAAGCTTTTCATGCCAAATAGTCATACTTGTAAGAGTAGTTCCTTTCTTAGTTCTCAGAGTACGCCAGGCAGATTTACAAGTAAATTCCCCTGAAGGATCCGAAGTCCATATGGGTCTGTTGTTTCAATCGGTATTGAAGGGGAGGACATTGACTTTACTGCTTAGCCTTAAGTAGAAGTTGTGACTTTGAATTTATGGTATATCCACAAACTTATCGAGGTAACCAGACTTAACGCATTGTTTGGAAACTAGAAAAGAGAAACGAATGAATGTTTTAACCCAAAATGATAACATTTAAATAGCGTTATGAACTTAAAAAAGAAAAAGAAAAAACAAGGGGCAAAACAAACCTAACGTGTCCGATTTCATATCTCTACTGTCAGGGGCGGATCTAGCCTTAAGCTTATGGATTCCCAACTTAGTAGCTTTTACCCAAATTCTATATTTATATTAAAAAAATTACTATATTTCTATAAATATTTGACTGTTAACCCAGTTATTATTGTATAGATAACTCGAGATTCCTGTAGGAGCCCATAAACTTCAAATTTACTAACCGTGCATATTGTATTCATGATTTTGTTTGACCAAACGTTTTTGTTTAAAATTCTACGTATAGCATTGTAAAGTAGCCCAATTTCACTATTAGGTTAAGAACATCCCTAATATTTAAGAGAAAATTATCCTCTATAACCCTTCAAAATTTTAATAGCCTCTGTTTTCCTCCATGGACCCGAAATGTCCCTCCGGCCCAAACATATTATGTCAATAGCCTATATATAATCCATAATACACTGACCTACCCACACTTTTTAACTCACGTTTTTTTCCTATTGCACTTGGTTCTCTCGAAACACCGGTTTCTTCTCAAACACAGCTTCTCCATTTTTACTCTTACTCTCAATGTAAGTCAAAATTTCAGTAGGTTTTCGGATGTTTGTTCATAGTCGAGTCTATAATGGAGGAAAGAAGTCTTTGAAGAAAAATATAAAGTTGAGGGCATCTCCAAATTCTATGAAATTAGCTGGTAAATTAGTGAAATATAATCCTAGTTTAAGTAGGAATGATGATGACGATTTTGAAGATTTACCAGAATTTGGGTGCGATTTGGGGCATGCAACCCCTAAATCTGTTGAAGGAATGCAAAGTACCCATGTTGATAGAAGGACTCATTCACATAGCGGGACTCCCAGCGATAGAGTAACAACGAGATCACAAACTGCTCAACGTGTAGTTGTTGAAAAAGGAACAAGTTCAAAAAGAAAGATTAAAATGGTGGGAAAGGATGTTGTGAAGGATAAGGATAAAGGTTCTAAAAGGAAGGCTAAAAGGGATGGGGATGATATTCTATCAAAAAAGAGAAAAGTTCACGTTGATCAAAAATGTTCTAGCTCATCTGATTTGAAGGTATTTTCTAATAATATAACTCTGACTTGTGTGCATTTAGTTTATTTTAGTATGTAGAACATTTATCCAATATAGCAGGTATATTCCAGATTTGTATATAAAATGTATCATTCTTTTTTCATATTGTATATAATTTGTATCAAGTCAATAAGTAATGTGCAATTTGTATATAAAGTGTATCATCTATCCGCATAGTGTATAAGTAATGTTTAAAGTGCATATTTGTGGTTGTTATGAAGCTTATATATATTTAAATTTTTGTGGTCTACAGTTTTGGGATTACTATGTTCCTTTGAGTGATCATTATAGTACTCGTATCAGTGTGCATACAAACTGCATTATAGTGAAACATTTGAAAGATACTTTGGATGATCAGCAGATTGAGATGTTTAGAAGAACAGGTTTTGGTTATTTTGTGGACTTGCTCGAATTTTTTATACAGAACCAACTTATCCATTCACTATTGCTTAGGAAAGTAGTGTCACCTAAATATGATGAGTTATGGATTAAAATGAATGGCATCAAGTTGCGCTTTGGACTTGAAGAGTTTTGTATTATCACATGTTTAAAGTGTAATGGTGATCCTAATAAGGATTATGAATATGTCAAATCAAGTCGGTTGATGGAATTGTACTTTCCAAGCATGTCAAAAGTGTTTAAGAAATTATTAACTGACTGTTTCTTAAAAAAGATGTGAAAATCTGATGAGGACGCATTAAAGATTACAATATTTTATTTCATTCACAATTTCCCATTTTCTATTACGAATGATGATTTTATAACAAAGAATGATTTTCTATTGGTTGAATCTGGTGATTTTGAGACTTTCCCTTGGGGGAAAGTGGTTTTTCAATGCTACGTTGGAGTTAATGAAAGATAAGGTTCGTAGTAGGAGAGAGATGTACCGATATGGTGGTTTGCCTTTGGCATTCCAGTGTTGGTTTTATGAATGCTGCCCCTATACTCGCAAAAAACTCACTTACCGGATTGGAGATCTTGTGCCACGCATACTAAACTGGACTGTAAAGAAGAAGGTGACCTTCAAGAGGTTGAGAAAAGAATTTTTTCTTTTAAGTCGGGAGCAGGTAAAAAAATATTTTTGTTTAGTTTACAATATTTTATTGCAATACCCCGATGATTTTGGGCCATTGGTCCAGAAAATTTAACATGACTGTTGTGCCATTGGATGACTTCAATGTTCTGTTGGGAATTGATTTTCTAAAGAAGAACAAAGTCGCTCCAATTCCTCATTTGGATAGACTTATGTTCATGGGGGAGTCAAACCCCGGCTTTGTGAAAGGTATTCGGCCCTACGGGGATGAAAGAAAGAACGCTGGGATTGCGGCTTTGATTTCTGCCATTGCATTTGAGAAAGGCTTGAAGAGGGGCGAAGAGACTTACCTTGCTGCACTCGTTGAAGTCATGCCAGATGTGCAGATTGAGGTCCCGGATTGTGTTGCAAATTTGCTGAAGGAATTCAAAGATATGATGTCTCCAGAATTGCCAAGGGAGTTACCGGGAGAACCGAGCCTCAGGTTCTAATATGCGACCGAAGATTCAAATGGCAAGGCCATGATTACGAACTTGGAACTATTGGATGAAAGACGTGAGGAAGCTTTAGTCCGGTTGGCCGTCCAGAAACAACGGATAGAGAGATACTACAACCGAAGAGCCAACCTCCGACATTTCAATATCGGGGACTTGGTGTTGACAAGAGTAACATTACACACCCGGAACCTGAACGAGGGAAAGCTGGGGCCGAATTGGAAAGGACCGTATCGAGTCATCAGAATTACCGGTAAAGGCTCATACAAACACGAAGCGGGAAACGGTGTGCAACTACCGAATAACTAGAATGTGACGCACTTAAAGCGGTACTACTACTAAGGTATGATCTTAAATACTCTTTAATCATGTTATGAATTAGACTAACACTTTCAGGCAACTGACAAGGATGGATGTGGCTATTATGTATGAAAGCACGTGTTGCACTCTTTTCCCTTAAACTAGTTTTGTCCCAAAATGGATTTTTCGGTAAGGTTTTTAATGAGGCAATAGTAAAACATGCTTACTTATATTAGAAGGAAGGTCTCAAACCGGAGTCAATAGGCGTTCATTTCGCATCAATAGTATCCGAGCCCTCTCAAGCTCGACCTCGAATACTATGGGCCATTACTCTCGGATTACGATTTTCAGCAAGGGAAAATTTAGCAAGGAAAAATAAAAACCTTGTATGGTAAAAGCTAAGGCTCGGTGGTTAGGATTCATTGTAAGGGCCAAACGGTCGTGTGAACCGTGCCCACATAGTCCACTTTAGCCATGACACAAGCTTTTACGCGTTTTCGATCATGTACTTTACACCCAAAAATGAAAGAAAGTTCCGCCTTACTATTACACATTTTCTTTCCTCTTAAATTCTGGATCCTAAGAGCCCACGGGCTACCCCTATTCGAGGACTATCGAGCCCAAGGGCTACCCCCACTCGGGGACTGTCGTCCGAAAAAAGTTCGAACAACTCGGGTTACTAAATCTCGGAGGCACCTAACCTATTAGGTGGTGCCTAAATACAAAAGGCTACGGCCGCCCTAAAAATGGCTCGGAGACATCCGAAGCTTGTAATCAGAAAGTAAGGCCTTTATAAAAATTCGAAACTTGCTAAAAGGTTATCCTCGGCAAAATCATCGTCTAAAATCACTTACGCATCTTAAAATAACTTCCGGTCACACCAAATCTTCAAAGCCTCGAGCAAACAAAGTTATATCGAAGTTAGGCTCCGTTCGGACTCTGAAAAACGAACGTCCTATAACTACATTTGATTCTATGCTAAGGCATTAGAAACATTGCAAGAATAGAAATTATAAAAAGATGCTGAAAAA